TATTTAAAAAATAATATAAATATATATATTAAATTGAACTAAAAAATATTTTAAAAATTGCACTAAAAAGACAAAAATAATTTTCGGTACTTAAAAATAATGAAAAATTTAAAAGTGTGTGGGGCATCATACAAAACATTTAAAGCCGAGCCAAGTCTCACATACACTTCTTTGTTCAAACCTGTTTATAAGATAGTGACTGAGTGTATATGTCAAGTGTAAGAGCACCACACACTTTTAAATTTTTCATCAGTAAATTTTTCATTATTTTTAAGTACCAGAAATTATTTTTGTCTTTTTAGTGCAATTTTTAAAATATTTTTTAGTTCAATTTAATATATATATATTTATATTTTTTTAAATATAGTTTTATAGGAAAATGTGTTTTTAAAAAAATTTTATTTTTTATTTTTTTATTTTCTACTTTTTAGTTGAAAGTAATTTTTTTTTTATTAAACGTTTAAAAAAGATTTATGAAACAAATTTCTKATATTTAATRAAACGAATCAAACTACTRATGATTATGATTGACGATGTTGTCTCATTCTTTCGATTTCATCCRAAGCGTCAACGTTACAGGATGTCTTTCCCGTTATTTTTGAAGCGTCCAATTCTTCGATACGAAATCCATCGAGGCTACGAACTCTGCTAATGATGACGTACGCTTGACCTTGTACTAATAGTTTCTATCCCAAGTAAACGACAGCATAATTGACTGAGGTGCCCTGCATTTTATGGGCTGTCGAAGCACATGATAATATTAAAGGCAGCATACGGCGCTCGGCAGTTCCGTAACTGAATTTTGCAGGAAATTGTATTGATTTTGGCTTGATCAGGTGGATCCCATCCACGCCAAAATTCACCATTACGCCCGGTATGTCCTGCTTGTAGATCTGACCTCTGCGGAAGCCACCAGCCAATTTCAGTTCCGTTACGATACCTATTGCTTCATTGACCAAGCCTTTTTGTACATCGATGTTAGATCGCATCATCACTTTTGCTCCCACAAATATTACCAGCTCTCTCGGCAATCCTCCGGTCTTGTTGATGTCATCCGATATGACGGTGTCGATTGAATTTTTAGCGGCCTAGTGGCATCGACCAAAGAATCTTGAGCTCGAATGGTAAACATTTTGACATTTTTTTCTAGAAAGTATTGCAGTACTTTATTATTGTGGGCCTCCACTTGCTTGTTGGTCGGGTAAATGCGCATAGCCTTCTCTACAGAGAATTCCCCGTCCATCTCTGTACTAACCCGACTCATCAACACGGACATGTGACTTGTCGCTAGCTCCCCAATCCACAGCGCATTGAGGACGTCAATGAAAGTTGTATCACCTTGCTGTCTCATATTTTACGTCAGCTCAATCAAAGTAAATAATTCCCACAAATGTGTAGCCGGTATCATGTGTCTGGGCTGACGGAAAACTGGTTGTCCCTTCACTGGCGGTATCTGTATCAGATCGTCAAACAGCAATACATTAATTCCTCCGAACATTTCCTTGGGACTCTTTAATTGCCGCAGTCAAGACTTGATCATGCACAGAATTTCGTATGGCACCATAGAAATTTCGTTAATGAAAATAAACTCAACATCTTTCCATTCTAACCGCATGTGTTGAAGATATCGACCAAACAGTAGTGGCAAATAGGAAAGTTTTACCTGTTCCTGCCTGACCGGTTATAAACAGGTGGAACCGATTGTTACTTCCTTCCATCTGATCGGAAATACTCCTCGTGGGAAATACTCCTTCAAGGTTTTTTGTTGTCCAATATTCATTTAATTTCATCGGCACGTTGTTGCGAATGTTGCTGACGATCACACAGTAAGCGAGCTTCTCTTTCTGCCAGGCTTTCATTGGCACGATGTTGTACGATTGATTGTCGTATAGTCTCCAAGCGAGCTTCTTGTTCTTCCAGGCTCTCATTTACACGTTGCAGTGAAGTTGATCGAGTTATAATCGTTGTTGGCGCTGCTCTGTTGTTTTGGTACTTCTCCTTTGCCTCATATATTGGCTGTAAGCATCGAGTCTGATTCGTTTAACAATACGATCTTCATTATCCCTGTTTATTACGAGCTTTCTCCAGTCGTCGTTTGCGTTGAGTGGCCGTCTCACTCATTTTTTCGGATAATTCTCCAGTGTACTGTAAACCTAAAGTTGATGGCAGCGAACTCGACGAACAGCGACGGTGATACGAGCGCGCGCGATGAAAAATTTAAAAGTAAAGTTAAAAAATTTAAACATAAAGTTGATAATATATTTTTATATTTTTGGTAGATAGTAGTTGTTATGGTTAGGTTATTATATTATTATATTACTAGCTGCCCGTGTGCCTCGATTCCGGGCGTTGTGGAAGCCGCCTTCGGCGCCTTCGTGGTGCTAAAGCGAAAATCGTTTCACCGGGAATTCAAAAAGAAATTAAGCCATACCGAAAACTGTGACTTTGAGTGTCTAGCGGTCTTTCTTCTTCTGGTGTAATACACTAATACCGTGTC